CATTTAATAAAATTAAAATAGTATAAATTAAATTAAAATAAATATATAGATGCATTATGGGGTATAAAAACATTAATTTTTTTTAAAAAAACAAGAAACCTATTCCTCATTATCATCATCTCCTATATCATCTTTCGATTACTGGGTGTTGAGAGAAATGACTGATTGTTGGGTTATAGGAGGGTCGATAAGAGGGACGCGAGTCTCGTATAAGTTCCGTAATAATTCCATCATTGTCCGCAATTGACTTTGTATGGTATTAACTTGATTGGCCTATTGCTGGATGGTAGCCTCCATCTTATTGGTCTTATCTTCATATTAGGCGGAACCTCTTGAATATTATCATCAAGATATCGTGAAGTGGCAAAGAAGGAGCTGGCATCGAATGTGAGTAATATTGGGACATATAAAATTCGATGTCATACACTCTCTGCTTCTTCTCTTCCTCGATAACATCCTAATATACTTTGGACATATCGATATCTAGAAATGATGAATCGACCTCCTATCGCTCCTTAACGACTGATTCTTGCATTGATCGCATGCACTCTTATATTGTTAAAGTAATTGTAATATTAAATTATAAATATATATTTTTAGATTATATTGATAGATGTATATATATATTTTAAAAAATATAAAATCTTACTATCGACGAATGACCCATCTTTTCGCTTATGAATAGTCATGAATAGCTCATAAAGATTTGGGTTATGATCTAATTTATTATGCTTGAAAAAAATAAACAAAATAATATGAGAAGAAATAAATGCAAAAATTAATTTATAACATAATGAATAATGCAAGTTTGTCACTCTTATGGTTTAGCTTATTGTGCATGTTGCCATACAACTTTCATGCCGGACTCTTTCACGCATCCTTAATCGGTGTGTTGATGGTCGTATCCCATAAAAAGTACTTCTACTCGAAGAAAAAAAAATATTAGTACTTTTCATGTTAAATTAACATTTTAAATAAAATATAAGCAAATAATTAATATACTATCCTAAGCTCATTAAAATAGAAGTCTTTAGTCTCTATGGAGATAGACTTCTATGTGGAGCTAGCGACGTGCAACCGCTTCTTGAAAGTTGTGGTGATTTTTATGGAGCACTTTTTTTTATCAAAACTAAGCTATCGAATAAAAAAAATTATAATAAACAAGTGAATCAGTGATTCTAATATAATATATAAAAATATAAAACTAATTATTGCACGTAAAATATATTACTTATCGATTATTGACGACCCAAATGGTCGGTCCATCATGAAATGCGGTAGAGCTTCTTGAAGTTGAGGAAACTACCGTGGGGACATCCATAGCAGGAGGCACTACCAGTGGAGGCATAATAGGTGAGAGCATTACTTGAAGGGATGGCAACGTGACAACACCACTATCAAGTTCATGAACATAGACACTTGCGCTAGCAATGCCACATCCACATACACAAGTGACAAGGTCTCGCAATCCATAACGCATAACTCAAGAATAACACCGAAAAAAATTAAAAAATAAATAACAATTTGATTAAAAATATGTTATAAATTATACAAAATTTTGATAGAGTCTCTCTTGTAAATTGAACATTTCTCGCTTACTAGATAATCCAAATGATCACAAGAACATTGAAATTAAATTAACCAATAATTAATTTACGCACATCGAAACTAATAATTATCTAAAGTACTTCATCAAAATTAAATCTTAAACCCATCCTTCTAGCTCCATCATATAGCATTGAACCAAACTTATTTCTCTTTAATTTTTAAGGGCCTCTTACCCCTCGAGTTCGATACACTACGTCGTATCTCGACACACTTCAATAATTATGTACAAAATTATTAAACTAATTAGCACTAATTCTAACTTAATTAAGTTTAAAATAAAAATAAATTAAAAGGTTTTAATATAAATAAAATTATAATTCAACCAATTAAATAAAATTAACCTAATTGATTAATTAAATATAAATGAAATTAAATTAATTACTTCTAATTCTAAACTAATTAAGTTTAAAATAAAAATAAATTAATGAGTTTGAATATAAATAAAATTATAATTCAACCAATTAAATAAAATTAATTTAATTAATTAATTAATTATAAATCAAATTAACTTAATTAATTCTAATTCTAAGAAAATTAAATTTAAAATAACAATTAATTAATAATTTTTAACATAAATAAAATTGAAATTTAACCAATTAAAAGAAATTAACCTAATTAATTAATTAAACATAAATCAAATTAACTTAATTAATTATAACTCTAACCCAATTAAATTTAAAATAACAATCAATGAGAAATTTCTAATATAAATAAAATTAAAATCCAATAAATTAAAAAAATTAACCTAATTAATTTAATATAAATCAAATTAACTTAATTATTTCTAACTTAATTAAGTTTATAATAATAATAAATTAAAACTTTTTAATGTAAATAAAATTATAATTCTATTGATTAAAATAATTAACCTAATTAATTATAAATCAAATAAAATAAATTAATTCTAATTCCCACCAAATTAATTTTTTTAAAAAATAATTAATTAATAATTTATAATATAAATAAAATTTAAATTCAAAAAATTCAAAACATTAACTAATTAATTAAATAAAAATAAATAAAATTAACTTGATTAATTAAAATCAATTATAATTAAATTTATATAACAATTAAAAAAATTTAGCAATTTAACAAATTAATCAACAAATTGACTTAACAATTGACAAGAATTAATAATTTAACAAATAAATCAATAAAATAAGAATTATATATATCAAGCAATTAAACTTAAAATTAACCTACCAATTATAAAAAAAAATTACTAAATTTAATTAAAAAAAAAAAAAGAAAGGAAAGACTTACTTGATTTGGGTGGAATTACGAGTAAGAGGAGAGAAGGAAAAAGGAGAGTTTTTGGGAGGAAAGAGCTTGGAGTGGGAGTGGATTGATTGAGAGTAGAGGAATGGAGTTTGGTGGTAGTTTAGAAAGGGGAGACTTACGGTTGGCTAGAGAAAGAAAGAAAGAAGAAAGAGGGAGAGGAGGAAGAAAAAATAGGTTTAGTTAGGAATTGGATGATAGCAACGGACACAATACCCTTATTGCTTAGCAACGGATACTTACATCCATCGCTAATTCATCTCGAATTTGACAATTTTAACTTTCAAAAAATCGTTCCAATATCTCGTCGCTAATTTATGAGGGATATTTATTTTACCAATGGATATTCCATTGCTAAGTTCAAACATTAAAAATAGCAACGGATATGCCATTTCATTGTATATCCCCTATAAAATTCATTACTAAACAATATCTAAAACTCTTGAGAACATTTTTTCATGAAATTTAGTAATGAATTGGTGTCTCTTGTTAATAAACCATCACTAATCCATCTCTATCATTATTATTTTTAGCAAATGCTATTCTATTGATATTTACTTTTTGTTTAGCGATGAGATTTTTTTAACTAAAATCACCGTCACGGGACGACGTCGGGGTGAGAGCGATGAATTTGGGCAAAAAATGGGCAAAAGTAGCTGGAGTCACCACCTAGTATTATGGGTTATTAGGAAACCCTATGGCTGGTCCGTTAAGTGTTTTGGATAACGGATTTATTATGTGTAGAAAAAATTAGAAATCACCATATCCCGTATTGCCTAAGGCAAGTTGCATTGCATACAACATTAATTTGATTTCTATTTTTTAATAATGAAAGTCTATACCTATCTTTCAAATATTTGCCCACTAGTCGACTTATTAGGGATTTGGTCGGTTAGAGGCCTTCTCCTCGTTCTATAATGAATAGCTAAAAAAATAATGGATGTAAGGTTGTGCTCGCTAATGCAACTTAGACAATGTGCATGAAAAGAAAACTTAAAAAATAAGCAAGCGAGTAAATAGACAAAATAGGCAAATTGACAAAAGCTGATAAATAGGTGATTAGGCAAAAATTGGCAAAAATGGGCAAACAGGCAAACAATGGCAAATTGGTAAATTAGTAAAATCCGCAAATAGGAAAAGTTGGCAAAATCAATGAATAGGTAAATTAGCAAAATAAGCAAATAGGTGAAATTGGCCAAATCAATAAACCGACAACATCGACAAATTGATAAAATCGATAAATTGACAAACAAACAAATGAGAAATTAGGCATAATCGGCAAAAATTGATAAATATGCAAAATTGGCAAAATCGACAAATAGGCGAGAATCGATAAAATTGGCAAAGGTTATAAAACGAGTAAAAATGACAAAATTAGCAAAATTGGCAAAAATGAAAAAAATCATTAAATTTGACAAAAATGATTTGAAAGCGAGATTAAGACCAACAAGACTTTAAAAGTTGTGATTTTCAAGCGAAATTGACAAAATCTTTGAAATTGATAAAAACAAACAAAAAACTGAATTCGAATCAATACGACTCAATCATCACGTTTTGTGAATGAAATTGGCCCAATATTAAATAGATTATTACAAATTGCTACAAAGGTCCATGAATCATTATTTTAGGCACCAATCGACACAATATTATTTAATCGTTGTGATTGCCCAAAATTGGCCAAAAACAAGATTTGACACAATGCGTCCCAAAAAAAGTACAAAACCACAATAAATATTCAAGCGCATGCAAGCATAAGCAATTGACTAACCAACACAAACGCAACAACAATTTGATTAAATCACACACCACACCGCACGACAATTCAATTAAATCATACGTACACCATAATTTAAATCAATTACATAGCTCAACAACTTAATTAATTATAGGCATACATCAAGGAAAATTAGATTTAATACATATAAAAATAAAATAAAATGAAATAAAAGATAAACATAATTTATCGTAAAAATGCGAATAAATTTCACTATCGAATGTTTTGACCTTTTCAACTCGATGGAGACCGATATTCGATCAACCGGAGAGGAAGTTCGACTGTTAAGGATCGAATCCGATCGAATGACATAGAAAGATGGTTGATTGATTTGAATTAGGTCTGCTGGGCCGATTGGATCAAGCTAAAGGTTGCTAGTCGGATGAAAGGCGAGCGTGGATTTGACCGGATTGAGCTAAAGAGAAGGATGGATCAATCGAATCGATGTCAAACTAGAGAGGAACGACCGCTGGATGTGGAGGAGCAGCGGGAAAAGTGGGATGACAATGGGAAGCTCGGCTAGAAAGGGCTGGATCGGTTGGAAACTCCATTGGATGGTTGGTCGAAGTTTTTAAGAGAGCTAGTTTGGTTTTCTGAGAGAGAGAGGCTAATCGGATCTCGGAGAAAAGGGCTATCACGGTTGATGGAGTTAGAGGAGTGGCTGGATTAGGCTGGAGAATAGGGTTGTCACGACTAGAGGAGGGGTTGAACCGATCGGAATGGTGTTAGTTCGATTTGGAGGGATGACCGGAGTTTTTTAGTGAGGTGAGGTCGGTTGAAATCTAGTTCTCTTTAGAGAGAGTGGCTGCTGGTTATAGAGAGAGAAAGTGGTTGTAATTTTTGGAAAAAAAGTGGGTTTTTTATACTAGGTTATTAGGTTTTTTTTTTTTTGGCTAAGTTTGGTTTGGTCCCTCGTCTCATAAACTTGCTTAATTCGGTCTTTTTTCTCACTCATTTTTCTATCGCATCCCTCGATTATATTTTTTCATTCCTTTTTCTTTTTTTCTTTTGAATTTTTTTATTTTCTTGAGAAAAATTTGGGTGTTAACAATCACGATGCTTTCAATCACGTTGGTCCGAGTCGCTATTCGGATTGTTTTTGCCAATTTTGCCTATTATGCATGTATGGTGCATATGTTGTGTATTTTTTTTGTAGGTGGAGTCTCCGGTAATTGGGAAATATCAAAATTTGCAAGGGAGATTCTTTTGATTTTTTTTTTTTTTACTTTTAGGAAAAATGGATAAAACCCGAGGTATTCAAGTCATTTTTTATTTATTATATTTATTAAACTATATCATGTGATATGATAGCAGTGATGACTCATGGTTCAGTCGTTACCACCTAGCACCTTATTTGGCTAGATTGTATGGTAATGATCGTGACAATGATAGTTGTAGTAGTCGTAGTCATGCTTCTTATTCAAGACACGTGCCCAATACTTCGCATCGCTAACATTAGTGCCTCCGCCCCTACTTGCTCCTCCACGGGATGACCATGAGCTTGCGTAGAGCCCAATGATGAAGGTTGCTTCGGTGGTTTTTCATACTCTTAGCGACACTTCTAGGTCCGATGATGATCAAACCATTTGTGTTGTTAAATACAAGTAAATATTATACCTATGGTTTGTAAATAGTATTGTTTTTGCTTTACGATTGGTAATACTTTTATATTTTGGTATTTTATTTGATTCATTAATTCACTTATTAATTTTTTATTTCTTCTATTCAACAGTTTGTATCTATTTAGTAAATTCTCTTAGTGGATCACCGTTATTTTCGGAGAGTGATTGGACCCTATCGACTTCATATGGAAGTCGACCTCTCAAGAGACAAAAGACTTATACTTGAAATGAGTTTAAAGTAATATATTAATTAATTAATTATATTATATTCAAATTATTTTAGTCAATCTAAAATGAAATATACTAATATTAATTCTTTTTCTTATTGTAGAAGTATTTTACATGGGAGGAAGCCATCGACATGTTGGTTAAGGTAGAATGGGAACTTCGGACACACAAGTTTTATGTCGACATGTTGACCAACTAGAAGAAAGACAGACAAACCCGCATCTATCCCAAAGAATGATTAGGTCACACTTGAGTTTCGGATCCATTTATAGTAGGTGGTGCGTAACCGCATGAGCAAGATGGGTTGTACCGTTCGTTGGCCCATCTAAACATATGAAAGGCTCCATTTTAGATTGAACATGCTTGCATGGATGGTAAATCCTATTATCTACTATGTTATAAGTTAATATTTATAGTTATTGTATCTCATATTATTTATGTCTATTTTTTTCAGGCTATGGAGTTAGGTTATGAACCAAATCCTTATGAGTTATTCGTGAGAACTCACAAATGGACGAGATGGGTTATTCATCGATATGCGATCCTAAGCGAGTTAGGATAAGGTTTTTTTGTTATATATATATATATATCTATGTCAATTTAATCTAAAAATAAAATTTATGATTTAATATTATAATTTTTGTAATTATGTAAGAGCATGTGGACTCATTGAATGAGTCGACTGCTGAAAGGTGATTCATCATCACTAGACATCAACATGACCCAAATATATCTCAAGGTTGTAAGAGGAGAGAAGAAGTATAGATTGTATGGCTTAGGATCACAAGTGTCCTAGTGTTACTCCTATTCTGGCATTAGCTCATCCTTTGCCACATCATGATTCCATGGTCGTATGCAAGAAGATGATGAGTAGTACTAATAGTAGCTCCGAGTGGACATAAAACATGACAATGTGTGACGGATCCAAGAGGTGGAGGAGAAACACAAAACGGAATCCCAACTTCTCGTTAGGAGCAATAGGAGGTGGGACATTAGATATAGATGATGCAACGAGTTGTTATGGGACATGTAGACCCGCTTTCACCAACCATTCCCTCCTCCTAACCCTTCCTTTACCTAGGAGTTGACCTTTCCTCTTAATACCCAACAACTAGAAAATGATGATGATAAGGACTATATGTATAACTTTTTAATGGATTCGGACACCAAGCATGTGTGTGTATGCACACGCACGTACGCGCGCACACACACACATACATATACGATTTGATTTTAATTATTTTTATTTTAATCAATAATTTTCATGTTATAATTTTATTTTTAATTGTTTGCTACTATAATTAAACATTAAATGACTATTAACGAAATAAAAATAAATAAATTTCATTCATTACTAATGGATCAAAAACCAACTAATGATAAAAAATAAATATTAACGTGCTTCGTTTGGTAATCGGGAAATCAAGAATAGAGTAATGGGAATGAGAATACAAGAATCAAAATGACATTTGTATTTTCATACTGTGTTTGGAATACTAATGAGGAATCAAAATGCAATTTAAATTTTTTAATATCTGATTTTTATACAAATTTAAATAATAATTTTATCAAATGGTTGTAAAAATAATAAAGGTGGTTATGATAGTGATGGTTCTAGCGATAGTAGTGGTGGTAATGGCGGCGACGGTAGTGGTGGTGGTGGTGGTGGTGGTGATGGTGGTTATGATAATGATGGTTCTAGCGATAGTGGTGGTGGTGATGGCGGTGACGGTAGTGGTGGTGGTAATGATGCTAAAAGTAGTTAATAGACAATAAATAGATAAAATATATTAGTATTTTGTAAAAAAATTCATTTCCATTTCTTGTTTTTATTCCCACATCTTATGTGGGAATGAAATTGTTTGTAAATTTGCATTCACATTCCCATTTCATTCCTTTTAATCAAACAACCGTAATGTGAAAATAAAACTTTTATTCTCATTCTCATCACTCTATTCACGATTACCAAATAACATCTAAATTAATTTGATAAAGATAGAAATTAACGAGGGATAACTAAATTCGTCGGCAATTTGGTGACATCAATCTATGAATAAGTGACCACTATTACCGATAGATTTTCGTCTCTATATAGCGATAAAATTCAAATCGCTAATTAGCGACAAGCCTTATACCGATGGTATTATTTCATCACAAATATTATGTTCTTAAAATAAAATAATGATGCAAAATATAGGTAGAGCAACAAAATTTTCCATTGTTAAATTCTAAATTTTTTGTAGTGAAACTTATATGGAGAAAAAAAAAAGTAATCCATTTATCTAAACGAGTTTTGAGTTAGAATATCCCTAGACTTTCTAGACTAGTTATATTATTATTATGTTATGTTTTTAGCACGGTAGAGGCCATATAATTTGTTTTGTTTGAAGGAGTGAAAAGTTTATATTACCCTAATTGCGTGACACTTATAGTTAAGAATTAAGACACCCTAACTATGCCCAAATAAAGCGATTTATATCACCATTCCTTGCAATATAGTTAAGCCCTTGATGGTAAATGTTTGCAATAGTGAAGCCTTTCATGGTAAAGGCATAAAGCATATATCAAGAATATTTTGAAAGAAAAGTATTTTTTTTTTGTCTCATGAAATATCCCATGCCATGTTACACTCTTTCATCATTTTTTTTTTAATTTTTTCATAATTTTAGTTTTAATATTAATTTTAATTAACCCACTGATAAATGAGTGTATTTTTACACAAAATAATTAATTTGAGAGCTTAAATAAATGTAAAAATACACTTATTTCTATATAAAATATTCTCTATGCACAGAAAAATTCATCTAGGTTCATAGAATATTGTTACACCTCCTTAATGATTTTTCTATACCTATTGAATAATTTTCAAATATTTTTAAAATATTCAAAATAATTAATTTGCACAAAAAACACTATTCATGCATCGAAAATATTCATTGAACATTAGAAAATTCACCTAATGGCACAGAATAATCTAACACCACTCAAGTAAATATTCTATGCAAATTGAACATTTTTCATGCACATTTAAAAAACTCAAAATATTATTGCATAAAAAGTTACTATTCATGTATAAAAAAAACATATAAAATATTCACTTACCACGAGAAAAATTATCCTAGAGAGATGCACATATCATTTAGGATTGATGTCATCTGCAAGTTGGTGTAGAAATTTTATCCTCAAGGCTTTGTTGATCATGAAATGCTGCAATTAAAGATGCAATTTGAGCGTTTTTTATCATGTACAAAATCTTTTTGATTTCAAAACATTGTCACCTATATCTAATTTTGTCTCAATGGTTGATGAAGATAAGAAAATTTGAAAGTTATCCACTTGTGTATAGAGTAATAACACTTATTCTTACTGTTCGCGTTTTACGACTACCACGGAATGGTCATTTTCAGCTATGAGCATAGTCAAGACTAAATTTCATAACAAAATAAAAAATGACTTTCTAGTATATATTGAAAAAGAAATTGTTGAAAATTTTAGTAGAGGTTTGCTTGTAAATGATTTTGGTCACTCGAAAGAACGAAGATTTCTATTTTGAGTGATTATATTTTGAGAATATTTTAAAATATATATTAGTATGTTATTTATAATATATATAAGTTTGTATAAATCATTATAAATTTATAAATATTTATTTTGACCATGTGGACATTTGTTC